AAACACAGGAAATACATATGGGTGCTGTCAGATGCTTTGACAGTGACTCCAATAGGCCTGCAGTCAGTGCAGTGTCAGAGTCATCCAAAGTGACTGCAGCCATGTGGGTGTGGAGTGTTTTAAGTGTGTGTTTTTTGGCTGGCTGGCTTCTCCATAACCATGGTTTCACTGTTTGTTATGACTGTCTACTATGTTGTTGCTGTCCAGCATCTCTGAGCAACACTCACACACAGAGGAATGGACACACTGATGCAATAGCACAAATTTTGACAGGAGGTATTTATCACCCAGTTTGCCTTATATTCCTGGCGTGCGTGTGCGTGTGTGTGTGTTCAGCCTGATTAGTCTACTGAGAATGATCAATATATTCACTTTACAATGCACACAACCGCCCAAAGGATAATTTAAAGCTAATTGGCTTTTTTGCACAAATGAACCTCTGCTCGTTCTCTTTAACTGTAATATTGCATGTAAACGTAGTAACCTAAATGCAAGTCCCATTACTGGCCATCCTGCATATGTAGTCACTGTCTGAAAGTAAAAACATTAAATTATTAATGACCCATCATGTGTTACTAATTGCTGTGAGTTTAGAATCCATTGAACCCATTTACGGCTGTTTCTTGGAAATTTAACTTCAACATTCTTAAATCCTACTGTCGTTGATGTTCTTGTTAATGTTGGATAAATGTTTGTTTTCAGTTTTTTCTTCTCTGATATGACAGATTTCCAGCACAACTACACAACACCTATAGTAATCCTGAACATCAGATGTCTGTCTGCTCTTTCACTTAGCTCTGACATTCAGCAGGGACAATCCATTACAGAAGAGAGGCCAATTTGTTCAATGAATGAATGAGGCCAAATTTTTCAATGAATGTAGCCGTGGTAGACTTGAAGGGTGTTCCCAGGGTCCTATGAGTATGTGTGTCTCTTGAAATAGATTAACATTATAAGAAATCAATATGGGCTAACTTTGCAGTTCAAATTGCAAAAGAACTTAAGGGAGATGGACATATCAAATGACTGATAAGAATCAGTTCAGCCACTGTGGAGATACCACTGTCTAAAGTCAGGAAAAGTATCTTGCCTGCAAATTAGAGGGCACAGGTTTCAAGGAGTGTAACATCAGTAGGCTCCAAGCTGTAAGTGGGTGATTTCAGCATGTAGACCCATTGAGCATTTGACTTATGGGAAAAAGAAATTTGCTGCGAACATAAATCCCTTTGAAAGCTCTCCTTAATATGTCATATCAAAAGGATGTTGAGCTGGGTAACATAGGACCCTGGGAGCTTATAACCCTGGGAACATAGATACACTCCTGACTAGAATGCAATTCAGCCAGAAGACGTGTTTTTTTTGAGTGAGATGCATGTTAGGAGCTTTTTCTGAACATAAAATGGTTATCACTGTTTCTGAGCATTACTGTTTCCACCTGTACAGGTGAACTGACTGTTCAGTAAACACCTCCCCTAAACAATGATTGTATGATTGTAGATTTAGCAGTGATAACTACATGCAGCATGTCTGCCAAGCTTTGGATTTCTCCACATGTGTAGTAAGAGTGATACTTGGTGTTTAGAGTTTGGAGCGTTGTCTTTTTTATCACCCTCTCCAAAGCCAGAAAACACAAGAGCGAGAGTGTGAAGGAATAGATTAAACAGCGTTTTTATTTGCTCTAGCGCAAGCTGACATCCTTAGCATGTCTAGCTAACTAGCTTACTCCCAAAAGTAGTACCACATCAACAACTAGATTAGGTTTGGAGGTTTGGGGGTTTTGTTCAAAAGGCTCTGTTCATCACCAGCACTTCCTCTCTTTAGTACTTCCCCGCTGCATGGAAGTCAATCCTGGATGCTATCAGAGTGTAGGCTAAAGTTAGCAGGGGTGTCCTGCTCTCCCGAGTCAGTCTTTTCTCAAAGCTATTTTTCTTGTAACATTTAAGATTCTGTTTGAAATTATGAACAAGTGTTTAAGCTTAGCAGTCAAACAGGGTTAACAAAATAACAGTCTGATCTTACATTTTTCCATATCATACTTTATAATACTACCTAACTAGCTCTAGACTGCAATACCTACAATAACAATAATACTACTAACTACAATAACAATGCTGTTCCTATTTTCCCACACCATCAGATTAAATGAGGGGATTCTTGTCCTGGTCTGTTGGGTGTGTCTGTTTTCCTGTCAAATAATAGGAGAAGGGTCCAACTGCAGTCCTCCCTCCTGAGGCCCCAGTTCTGTAAGACAATTGGGTTTGAGGATGAGTAGTAGGTTCCATTGTATAAAGTAGGCTATGTAAACCTTGACTTTTTTCACCTCAGCAGTTCAACAATCTGTTTCTGAAAACTTTGAGGCGAGAAATTAGCAATCCAGTTGCTGAATCTTCACTCATATTTGATCTAGAAGGCCTAATTTTCTTTGTTCTGACTTCCGTAGGACAAGGGCACTACTGCACAATCACTGGTTGCCACTGCTTTTCTGTTTTTTGGCTTACTACTCTAATTTCCCATAGAGGTTAGCGAGTTGGGTAACATTAGGTTGCAGTTTACTACATACAGCCTGTCGTAGCCTGCGTCCAGCTTTCCAACAAATCCTGTTTGTTATGACATGTGATCAGTAACTAACTATGTAGTATTGTTATATTCTACAAATCTTGCAAGTTTGTATGTCCGTGGTCATAGTTATGCTATAGCTGGTCAGAGGGGCCTGAGGAGAGAGGTCTGAGGCACTGAAGTTGGATCCATTTGCATCACTTGGCTACATATGACCAGCTATAATCATAACTATGAAAACGGTCTGATGGTCTGATGGAGTCAAAAGGTCACAGTTAGCGCCTGCTGGACATGTGGAAGACCGTGAACAAAGAGTAGTGTGTGTGTGTGCATGCGTTTGTTCTTTTTTTGGGAAGAAGCCATTCATTGCATGGAGCTTATCAGCGATTCCCAAAATTAAAAGATGTTCTATTTGTTCTATCCTCGGATCACTTTCTTAAAATGTCTCTTGTCAGTTTTTCAGACCCTACTTTTACCCTTCCATACCTTTTTATTTATGCATATTAGTGGATTCATATCAGGTTCTACAGTGACCCCTTTCACAACAAGTAAACACACACAGAGGATGTAGATTGTGTCTTTAAAAGCTATTGGTCCATGTGTGTGTGTGTGTATGTGAGTGAATCCCTGCATTTAGTGGCCAGAAATAGCCTGTTAGGAAATCAATGTTCCTCTCCCAGTGGCACTGGGAGCTGTCTCCTCTACAATAGAGGGACTGTCCTGTTTCCTGCACCCTGGAGGGAATGTGGTTGTGTGTGTGTGTGTTTGCAGGAGTGTGTAGACAGAGTGAAAGAGAGAATACAGACTCATCTTTGCTGTGCCTCAGTTCTGCATCATCAGCTAATAGACATAAAACCAAAGGGCAGAAAATTTAAAAATAATGTGGGTAAAAGTAGAACATTGTGTTATGTGTGCGTATGCGTCTGTGCAGGGCTCTGCACCCGTTCTTTTAAGCCAATAAGTGATTAACCATGATTAATATGTATGTGTTTAAGTATGTTAACAGTGAATATGACCTAAACCTAAAAAGTTCATACAGATATTCATGTTCCCTCAGGATGAATAACTTTGGTGATCCTTTGAATTTTCAACTAGCACCACCATCAGGTCAAAATTTCACTTCGTCCAATACTTTGGTTTATGACTAAATACCTGCAAAGCTAATGACATGGTGTTAAACTTAGTAATCTATATCAGCATGTTAACACTGTCATCATGAGCAGGTTTGCATGCTGACATTGGCATTGAGCTCAAAGTGTAGCCTCGCAGAGCTGCCAGCATGGCTGTTCACTCGGAGTCTTGTGGTGAAAGTTTGTGCTTGATCAGAATAATATCTGACAAAGCAGCAGAACAGAACTTAAATGTTTGTGTTTCCTCCATCGCCCGTAGTGTGTGCTTTTGTTTAGAGCTAGCAGAGTTTGGTGATTGATTGTGGTCGGATGGTTTTATAGTTCAATTCCTCTACATACTAACTGGTCTGGAACAGGAATGAGACTGAGCCCAGCTCAGCTGAGGAGAGAAAGAGGCCTTAGGGCAACTAAGCTCTTTGAGTTTACAGTGTGGTCTCAGCATTGTCTCACAGGATATTATTATCCTAAATTTTAGGGATATCACTTTGAGATTTCTATGAGACTGTGTTGTTTGTGTACAACCTAAACAGCTGTAATTTAAATACATAGTGGAGCATCACTATCTGCACTCAAGCAAAAGTCAGTTTAAATTTATTCATGAGGCACATTTAACAAACAGGTCAGTCACAAAGTGGTTTTCGAGTCCATCGCCAGCATGCCATGCACTCAGAATCTATAACATGAGGCCAAAGTAAAGCACTGAAGTAACTAAACTATTGTGTGCAATAAATTCACTTTAACACATATAGTTTCTGTAATAGTTTATTTGATTACTTTAATAACTTTTTTTGTACAGGCACTTTATTGTGGTAATTTTGCGTGCATGATAATCTTAATCTAAAGGTTATCCATTTAAGATATTTCATCAGTGGCTTTTGATTGTGATTCTGCAGTAACACTACCTCACTCTATGTGTAATCACACACAGTAGCAAGCATGCTCTGAATGATGTAAAAATTCAAAACGACACACAGATATTATCACCATAGGGGGCCTGATCTGGAGGAGATGACATTCTTTCCTGCAAACAGCAGGCGGTGAAATATGACGACAGTTTGACTCATAAGAAATGACATCTGCACATTCGAGAAGCGTTTTTCATTCCGGGGAAGGAAAAAGTGAAAAATGTCGGTTCTTTGGCATGAAATCCAATAAAAAATACTCATCACATATCGTACAGTGATGCTGTCAACATCAACATTAAATATAACACCTATATTTCTGCGTAATATTATAAAAAGGCATAGACTGACTATTGCTGTTATTTCTTGGTTGCAAAAAATCAATTAATGTTCCACTTTGTTTCTTTTTCAGAGCTCCTCGGTTCTGCAAAGAAAGTGAATGTCAACTTCCAGGATACAGATGGGTGAGCTTTTCTCCCTCACTCATCCCATGTAGCTCTCATCTATTTCCATTATTGCCCCACCACACCACACACACACACACACACACACACACACACACACACACACACACACACACACACACACACACACGCACTTGCTCCACCCCCGTTTCATATAAACCTGCATTATCGTGATAGTTTTACTTGTGTCTCTATAACCTTAAAAGCTCAAGGATTAGCCTCAATACTGCTCAGCTAAAGTTCATAATAGAATGGCATGCATGTGTGTTTGTGTGTGTGTGTGTGTGTGTGTGTGTGTGTGTGTGTGTGTGACATAGAGAGAGTATTCATGTCATTAAAAACCTTGTGTGTGTATAATATGCGGCTATAGGAGCACTTGTTCGTAAGATACTGCTTCAAACAAACAAAACAATGATAGACAAATCATCAAAGTGAATTTAACTTGATCCCTGCATTTCTATCATAAACTTTATTTAGGAATTATTTGTGCAGCAGACAAACACACACAACCAACATTAGGGTCAGACAATATGGAGCACTCGGTGTGGAGAACTGTGGCAACGTGTGACAGAGAGAATAATATCATAGCTAAATATTTTAGGACAGACATCGTTATTTGTCACGTGAGGGTTGTTTTGTATTGGCCCCATGTAGAACTGGTTCATTACAGAGAAAAGTAAATTGCCGAGCAGCGGTGGCTTGAGTGAGCCCTGTTCATTCCTCTAGTAGAGCTCCACAGACTCCATGCTGAGGAACACTAAAGCTGTTCCAGATGCTCGTGGTGGCCCTCACTTTTTCCATTCATTTGTCCATATGACACATGACTGTCAGCTGTGCAGTGCAGCAGGAAACAACACAAGGTAGAAATGCAAATCCCTACAACCATGAGTCATGACAGCTTCAACCCTTGTGAGAGTAATTTCAAAGACTGCAAACTGTTGTGAATAAAGTGGTTTCTGTGAAGATAAAGATCAAAAGTAATCCTCGCAACGCCGCTTTGCCACTCTTAAGTGAAACTGAACAGTGTAATCTAATTAGTGTGTTTACTGTTATTGCCTCTTTGCCCCTTAATTCCTCCCACAGTATTAAGTGCTCCGCGTTGGCTGACGCTAACATTGGCTCTGTGTGTTCGTCTGCTGCACAAATAAGTCGTAAATAAAGTTTATGATAGAAATGCATGGATCAAGTGAAATTCTACTTCATAATGAGCACACATGGCTAATGAGTCTGCACAAGTGTTCATTTTATATTCATGTACTCTTCTTGGCAATCACTTGGAGTCTCATAATGAACTCACTCTGTAAAAAAAAAAAAGCTCCTAATTGGGATCTTTTGCTACAGATTTTCCTCATCTGCTCTGTGTGTGTGTGTGTGTGTGTGTGTGTGTGTGTGTGTGTGTGTAAAATAGCATTTCCTAAGTGGTGTCCATCAGCTGGTGTTACACCGTCATTAAAACCAAACGCTGGTCAGTATTTTTATTTAAATAAGATTACAAGAAAAGAGAAGCAGCAAATGGGTGAGAATGATGAGGAGGAGGAACAGAGAGAGAATGTTTGTCACATAGGGACATAGTTTAATGGTGTATGTCACAGGAGACTGGAGATGTGAGTGTACAGAGGATGAAGAGGCCTCTTTATAAACCCTGACAAGGAGATCCCCATTGAGACATAGAAGAATGCAATTTTATATGCACTGTATGAGTGCATTTGTGCAGGTGTAGAGGCTTACTATGTGAGACAGAAAGATCTGGAAAACGTGTTGGAAGAAAGGAAAGAATAACAAAGAGAGAAAGATTCATACCTGTGCCAGCGCATTCCTTTCTAGTGCAGGAAGTGAAGTCTGATCTGAATTTAATATATAATACACAATATGAGTGCTGGGCATGTTCGCATTCACGCTTTATTTAATTAACGCCGACAGTTATTTTATCTCCCGTTAACGCAGTTTTTATTAATATTATTTTGAAAGTACGTTGCTCTCTGGCTTTGAATACACACACAGTCAAACCATGGGTCACAGGAGGGGTGGGATGTTGATCAGCCTGCAAACCACCCACCCAAACAAGCAGCAGAGGGAGGCTTCGGCAGACTATGCTGGAAGCAGCGTGTGGGAGAAGTAAATAAATAAAAGCAAGACAAGCAAACAAATGCCATAGCGCAGTGGATAGCTACACACTGCATGCTGATGAGTATTGGGGAAGATGTCGATCTTAGGAACGTTGTTAAAATCACAACGTAGTCTCTTGGCCCCACGGGGTTGCTCTTTGCTCCTGTGATCAGAAAGGGAGACAAGCGCTCCGCGAGTTAACGGCAGGCGCTCTATGGATAGTAACTATGGCAACGGCTTCTGTGCGCTACACAGCTGTAGCCTTTGTAACTTAAGTTGTTAAAATTATAGGCTAATGCTACATAACTTTACCTGACGGGCCTACATCTAGTTTTGCAGGTATTCCCTTGCCATGTGAATTCCCTCCTGTTGGTGTCCTATTTAGTAAACAGCAATAGATTCTGGAAACTCAAACAGCGAGGATTAGTCTCTCTTCCAATTATTTGTGCTCCTCGTCACATACGCAAAGTTCAAGACAATTTAACTTTGGCGGCGGGCTTGCGAGTGCGTGAGGCAACCACTTCACCTCACTCTAACAGGGACACTTACTACTACTACTGAACATAGACTGTTTATGCTGCTCCCTGATAAAAGAAAAATGTTTCTGCTGATACCTGTTCAGAAAAAACAACAAAAACCCCCCCAGATCTATTTATGTTGACCTGTTGCTCAGAAGGTGCCTGTGATGATGTTATGATCGTGGCTCTGGACTCTGATGGTAACTTGTTTTAGATAAAAGCTAACACCCTGGCAGTGGCAAATAGCTGTGGTTTAATATTTGATTTGATTACATTAATGTTTAAGTTGAGATTTACAAGAAATATTTTATTGCTACTGTGTAAAGGGAATACTGCTGGTAAAAAGCACCTTATTTGTTTAAAGATTTTGCAATCCATGTTATTGGACTTTTGTGTTTATAGCAGTACATTTAAATACTAAATGTACACTATTTTAGAATTCATTATCGAATTTTGTGCATAACTATGCAATTAATCACAGAAAATTGTGCGATAAATCTAAATTAAAAATGTTAATCGTTGCCCAGCACTAGACAGTATCAATCAACGTACAACACCTTTTTTGTTTAGTATCTTTCTTTCTTTCGTTCTTTCTTTCCTTTTGTGTGCAAGAATTTAACAGAATACCTACTTTCTCTCTTTAGGTCAATGTCCGTGTTGTGTGGGTTTGAACATGGAGACAGCTTGTAGCCTGCAGGCGCAACAAGACTTAATATTGTCAACTTGGTTCTGTCCCAAAATGGCACCAACTGGTCAGGATTCTTTTCCTGTCCTCCCGATAGCCATGTCACTGTTTCCATCAAAATGCAAACAAAACATTATAAAAGAGAGGAAACATTTTAGAAACAGTATAGTGACAAATAGATAATTAATCAGCGATTTTCCTTTAGAAGCAAAAGAGGAGCTAATGAGACACAGCACAGAACCGTGTAATAAAAGACGGTTCTATGCTAAGTGACTGCTGCCATAAATAAATGTGACTATGGGGGAAATAAGTGAGTCATCTTAACACTTACAAAATAGTTTTTTGACAATAAGGCCATGATGACTTTTTTTACCAGAACAGATTGTCACCCTTGTAACGCAAAGGCTGATTGGATACTTGTCTGCATTAACACACACTCCAGGGCATTTTTACACAAATTTCAAGTACTCAGAAGGCACAGCCAGAGCTATCGTCTCCGAAACAGAAAGACATCAAATACGTAACTCCTTAGATGATCTGGACTCTGTGTTTTATGGCCAGATAAAGCATGGGGACACACACATGCAGGCGGAGTGACAAACACTGATTAGCAAAGAACAGAGACAGAAGACAACATGATAAATGAGCCAGGAGCTGGAGCACACACACATGCGTGTTGGATGCTCGCTGAGAAGCACAAGGTGAGCACACACCAGTAGATGGGAGAGAAGAGTGATAGAGTGATTGTCTTCCTTCCTCCCATGTCCAGTGTGTGATTGTTGGAGCAGTGTGTTTTGGGAAGGCCCAGGAGGCATACGAATCTCTCATTACTGAAAATGGGTCAAACTGTGCTTGTCTGTGTGTGTCTGTGTGTGTGTGTGTGTGTGAGACAGGTGAATATGACCAGTTAAAGCTCATGGGATGATTGTGCGGGAACAAAATGACATGAAAAGATTTTGTACAACAGGGGGTGGGTTGAAATATATATATGTATGTGTGTGTATATATATATATATACTTACATATACAGTATATAGAAACAGGATCACAGGAAGAGAGGAGGTAGACATGCAGACTTTGACAGGATCGTGAGAGAGACAGAGATGAGCAACATAGATAAATAAACAGAGGCAGCTGGTGAGAGGAACTGAAAGACCAAGATAAGAGGCAGAGTTTGGTTTCGGAAATGGAGATACATGAGATCAGCAGTGGTGCAGTGATGTCTTGGAAAGTGGGTTTTACTGTGGCTTCCATCCCTACATAAATACAAGCCCAGCAATGCTTATCCATCTAGCTTGTGACTGTCATTGGTGTCATCATTGCATTTGTATGTTATAATAACAGCTAGATACTCATGTTTTAAAGGAATAGTTAGGAGTTAGATGAGGATACCATTCTGTACAGTAAATATAAAGATACCACCAGCAGCGGGTTAACATAGACTGAAAAAAAGTCTCACAGTATTTTCACTGGATGTCTGGCAACCTCATGGTGGACAAATCTTCAATAAGTCACTACGCCTTGCAGGAAAAAAAAGTCAGAAACCTAACCCTCTGTTAAACCACAATGTGCCGTTTTTACACTTCTAGCCAGGCTAGCTGTTTCCCCATTTCCTGTTTTTGTGCTAAGCTAACTAGCCGCTGGCGGTAGCTTCGTATTTAGCGTCCAGATGTGTGATATCAGTTTTCATC